ACTGCTGTGCATCATTCAGACAATCAGCTTCCAAACATTTCATTCCTATAACCTATATTAAGTGAAAATGTTTAAAGAAATAGGAGATACTTTTATAAAAACGAATAAGTAGAAATGAAATAGTTTACTCACTACTCTCTGTCTGTAGCAAACATCATTCATAGTTTTTGACCCCTTAGATTGTTATTATATTGTATTATACAAAGTCTAAGGTTCAATCTAACGTATTCTATCCACTGTTGAGTGTTGTAGTTGATGGTAGCTTGATATACGGTACCGAAGTACATGTAGAATTAAATGTTTTGTGTATGACTTGACCGTCTGGTCAGCATCACTAAGTCTGTTGCAACTAAATATTCATCTACTACTTCTCTTTCATTCAGATAGTTACGAGAAAACCCTGTAAGCATTTTCATGATTAACAACAACCTATCCACTAAGAAACCTAAATGCCTTTATACACGGACTGACTTTAAATAGAATTGAGTGTGTACTCAATCGAGAAGAATCGACTATTCTACTTTGTGATCTCTGCATTTCCCGTTAACATTTCAATTATGTGACTTTGATGTTAATTTCTTCAAAATGAACAATCGTAAGGAAACAGTCGTCAAAATCTGCAGAAATATATATTTTGTATGGTTCTATAATCTTCATGATATTGCTTATGTTTGCAAAATGTTGATGTATTCATTTAAGTGGAGAATTTGTGCATCTCTTAAGTGTTTAAAATCTACGGGATGTATAAAGTGCAGATTTTGTCCAATACAATAATTCCTTCATGTATTTGTGACGTCTCTTACTAGGTATCGTGGGTCATGATTATTTACTTTTTAAATATAATTATAATAATATTTGTCATTTTAAGGAATATGTCGTGAGACTGAGGCCACCGATTCTCATTAGTTACAGATTTTGAAACTGTAGTGCATCTAAAACGGTAAAACTAGCACTTTGAATACTGAAATGATAGCACAAAAAGTAGCGTAAAGTAAGAAACACAAAATCGAAATATTGAGAAATTGTAGCGCAAATAATCATCCTTCTATATAATAATATCCTGTAGTAGATCAAGGAGTTGTCGTTAGAGAGAAGAGAAAATCAATAGCTAATACTAATTTTAGGAATAAGGAAGTCATTGATGTTCGGAATGTTGGAGTCGGCTCGATGAGCTGAATTCAGCGAGTGAATAAAGTAAGGCACCATGAAATTAAACTTAAACGAATTTTCAAATAGGTGTACTAAAGATATGAGAGACTGATTACTCAATTTTTGTGTTCATTCATACAATTAACGCCGTCTTATGATCACTTCTGTGAGGTGTGATAATTCCACTGTCCTCTTCTGCGGTCAGATACGTCAGTATGAATGCCTCGTATCTCCACGAGATGTCTGTTGATTGCCCAGACCAAATACATGCTTCGCTAAGTCTTTCAACGTTGCAGAAATTGCATCCCCTGATTTACCGTACTTTCTATTATCTAGCTTCAACATTGAAAATGTCTTATTATTATTACTATTATTTTGCAAACATTAAAGTTTCAGTCAGTGAAATAGAATGATCTGTATTATAGGTATTATCATTATTAATATTAATAATTTAATATTTATTGTTATTATCATCCTATTATTATTATTATTATTATTATTAGTGGATATAATTTTTGCAGTGACTGTGCTTTTTTCAGGGGCGTATTTTATATCGAATTGTTCAATCTGTAATTTTCAGTAGACATAATTATAGGTGAATAGTTGAAAAAATACCACTTCAGCGCATATACACTAGTGTGATAAATTTCTGTATTTTCATGGTATGTGTAAGTTTAGATACGACTGCAAAAAACAGTTTCTTTGATGTACACTAATTAAACTGTAGCCAAATCACGCCTTCGTTATTAAGTGTACAACATATGAAACTAAATAGAAATTTTATATTTTCAAGTATTGGTTTTGTAGGGATTTTGTTTGATTGCGTGGAGGATTTCATCATGAGCTGACATCAGTTAGAGAACCACTGGAACCACAACTGTCCAGTACTCCTAGAAATTTTATATCTCAAATGCGTGTTTTTAGTGTTGTCATGTTCTCTGAACTGGATTGTTTGACAGCATAGGTATCATTGTCCATCTAGACAACAGCGTCAGCTTGAAGTGAGATCGACTAGTGAAAAATTACATTCTACCGATATTATTTTCCTTAAGGTGATATTTCATGATGAATAAGAAAAAGGCATATACCGAAGTTTTTCTACTAAGTTGGTCTTAATTTCTCGCCCCTCAACTATTAGTTATTTAAGATACACATGGTCCATCTAACTTTCCCTTCTTGCTTTTTGTTCATGAAGTTTATTTTCCAAGTAAAATGTAAAATATGTTAAGTAACAGATAGAAGTGACCGTAACTGGTAGATTGATTCACCCGCAGCATTCCCCTCGTGATAGGCAGCAAAATTCAACGTACAAGTATTGAAGTACTATGCAAACAAATAGCTTGACTATTGGAAAAATGTGAATTTCACCTTATTGCAATGCGCTTTTTTCCATCTTCATTTGTTGGTCACTAAGTCTCATTCTTGACTACGATGAATAGTTTACAAAATGTTCCCTTGTACGAAATATTCGTTGTATAACGATTTAATAATTTTTGTTTATTGTTTACTACAAAATAATCCAGACAGGTGGGCGATTGTTATTATCTTTCCCTCTTTGGAAATTATATATATATATATATATATATATATATATATATATATATATATATATATATATAATCAATACGAGCTAGTCCAGATCAAATTAACTCTATCCTTATCTATCTTTAATAAACCTATCTCAATAATGCAGCACAAGTTCATGATTTCAAATACCACATTCCAGACTAATGAGACTCATGTTTCAATTAATTCAGGGCGTTATTAGTTTCTCTACTATTAGAACACCTTGCACACTAATCTGCAGTTTTAAATGGTCCAGATCAGCTTAGAAGCCGACAAGTAATCTAAAAACGTGTTGATGATAGTGAATAACTATGATGAACAGTCATCTGCTAGTGAGCGAAGAGTTAGTGTCCAAATTGACAGACACAAGTGTCCCATTATACGCTTAGATTAAAAAAAAATAGATTATGCAGAACCAAAGTATCCCAGTATTTTATCCCTCCGATCGTACACATTTTCATTTGTGGGTAGCAGCAACTTTTGTGACATTTTTGCAAGTACACACACACACACACACTTTCTACTCCATTATTATGGGTTGAACTATCAGCACAGATGACAATTGTCGCTTAGATGTGTTTTTCATTCATGAAAAAAAAAGTATTCTTCATCCTTCCCATACATTTTCATTCGCCCGCTTTTTTTCTATTCTGCTGTACAAAATGTGTCTATAACACCCTTTAACACACATTCTATATATGGTAAACATGAATGGATGACGATAACACAAGCTGTTGTTTTTGTTTACGTCATAAAATTTTTGAGATTCATTATTGTAAATAATTTCAAAATGTTCATCTCTCTGCCTTGTTTATAAATTTATTGACCGTTTATGTTGTGACAGCATTTCCATACACACAGAAGGGCTCTTTTAAATAGGTTCCACACCAAAGCGTTCTTTGTGTGTGTGTGTGTGTGTGTATGCATGTGTCCTCAACACAACACTGATGGTAAATATTATTATACTGATGTTCGCTTTCGAGCAGTTACTATTATGTGAAGAGATGCATTCCGTTACGCTGTTGAGTGAAGTCAATTCACAACGTTAGACTGAGATTAATTTTCTTTTCAGTTTGTTTGTTTGTTTGTTGATGTTTGTCAGTAAGCAAAGTGTGTTCCAATTATTTCGGTTATAGATAGATAGACATTTCAACCGATCATAGATTTCGTTATCTTTAGAGCGCTATTACATAAAAGAGTAAAGTTAAGACATCATTTTAGATTTATATAAACGGCTCTAATTAAACTGAACAGCTAGGTGGCCTAATTTTTCCTACTGATTTCAGCATCAATAGCATAATATCGTGTTTGCCACTCTGGTGTATTAACAGTACAGTTGGCGTTAGTGTCCTCAAAACAATAATAATAATAATAATAACGATATCTTAGGTAGTAATTGTGCCAACCTGATAATCTAGTCAATCATAATTGAGTTAACGGGCAATTCTTTATCAGAGTTCAGTCACCGCAAACACTAAAATGACTTTTAGAGTAGTTGTCCTTTTTAAATTTCATTGTTGTGAATTTCTTAACAGCTTGTATAGTGTTATTTCCAAAAAATACGAAGTTATTAAACAAATTTAGTTGCAAAGATGGAAATTAAAACCAGTGCTGTGATGTGTAGTTGTTTTGTTATTCATTCCCATTAAATCTTAGCTTTTCTCAGTCTATATTGGGACACATTTTATTTTCCAAGTTGAACTGTAACAATGATCTAGACCGACTGGTATAACGCTATGGTGTTATAATTGTCTCAACAAAAAAACAACTTATTAATTTTAGAATATTAATAGCGAAAAAGATACGGTAAGTAGTGCTTGTCAGGATCAGTAGTATAGTGCGTAAAAAGCTCAAAAGGCTGTTGAAGCGTGTTGTTCGTTCTTAGAAAATGAATGAACTTCCTATAAGTGTTTTATGAGTCATCGGTTGGTTGTTCTTCATTGTATGATGTACACTAAGTCACTGGCTCATATATGCTCATAATCCTTGATGATACGATTCTGTCCAAAGCAATAAAAATAATCGTTCAAAAAAAAACTGTTCAGTAAATATTCTCTTCAATAATAATCTACTGTTTATGAAAAAGTGTGCATAGTAACGCCTATCACTTTTTGTTTTGATGACAACATCTTAGTAAAAAATTAATTCATGCGAGTCTGAAGTTCAGTCTGGGTATGCGGTGGCATTTTTGCTGATAATCTGTATAATTATCAACGTTATTTTTTGTACTCAGCATTGAACTAACTGATTTATGCATTATTTTTTTCTTTTTTTTCTTTTCAAAGTATGCTATTTGCTGGAATAGTTCAATGACGTGCTTCAATGAATCGCTTCCGTTATCAAATGATGCAACGACAGATGTAACGTCATCATCATCGGTATTATCAGTGCCGTTCATCCCATCACAAGGGAATTATAAGCCTGCTGATAGAATTCCCTCGAGTAGCATTAAGGCCAGTACTAATTGTGCTACCTCACTGTCCATCAGTGGCATTGATAACTTTCACAACAACACGAAAATAACTCATAATAATGGTAGTGATATTGAATTTCCACCATACCGAAATCAAGTTAAGAAGGATTTAAATCTTCGAATCTATCTTTTGCAACCTATGTGTTTGAATAAAGGAAATGGTAACACAGGTGACTACCTCAATAAAGACAATCATGGAGTGTGTACTATTAATAGTAACAATACAAACCATAATAATTATAATACTACATGTCGCAGTAAAACTAAAGGCAGTTACGACTTCTTAAAGGATTCATCATCTACAGAGCTGAATAACAATAATGGTGTATATGAATACAAGACGAATATGAAATTTGTTGATCAACCTACTTGTTATACGGGACTATCAGCTTCGTTTAAAACATACCATTCTATGTCAAACCTAAAATTCATGGATATGGATCATAAGTAAGTATTTCCTTACTTATATTTATGAATATTGTTAGAAAATTCGTTTAATACATATGCAAAATTTGAAGATTGAATTGTTCAACTGCAGTTCATATTAAGTCGAATGTGAAATTCGCTACCGTTAGGTTTGGTTGGACGAATCGAAAGAATGGTTAGTTCATAGCATACCTCCATGATTTATGTGACAGGTGTGTTAGACTGGTAATTATTGATAAATTATAACTTTTTAAGTAGATCACGAGATCACTGGCTCCAACTATTATCAAGTATGGCTATCGTCTGCACGATAAACACTAAATATATCTCTTTATTCAGTATAAGTTAGAATCTCGTAAATAAACATTTTTGTATACAGAATACAAACCAGATCGATTGAGTTATTTCTAGTAACATTAATCGGTCATACTTCTGATTGGAAAATCGTAATTCTAGTGGAATAGTTGAACAGAGTAGCGTAAAAGTATATCCACTTTATCTAACTGTGAAAGCTGAACATAATATTCTTTTTCTGTAGGTTAAAATCATCATTTCATTCATTCAATCTTGCATTCTTCCTACTCTAAAGTGTAGCACTTTCCAGTATCTGTACTATTGTATTTCAGGTGCCGTATTACTCCAACCAACCAAAATCATCGCGTTTGTTCATAAGACCTGAACAACCGTTTTTTGTGTGTGAAGCATGTCATATATTACGATGGCGTAGTTAACTAATTTAATCCATTTTGCCTATGTTTCGCATCAAAATGTGCTTGTATTAAATTCTACTATTTGTTCATGCTGTTTTATGTGTTATCCTTCATTCACACTTTAAAGTATTTTTCTTTTTTGCTGTTTTTTCTTCTTATTATTATGCATAGCTTCCTAGCTCTATCTGGATATACAGACGTCAGCCTACTGAATATTTCCTTATTCGATATCGTGCATGTTGATGATTTAGCGCATATATCTGAAGCAATAAACATGGGTTAGTTGGTTGCATAACCATTTCATTTCTATGACTATACTGATAGTAACTTACACATACAGGGAATAATGAGGCCATTTTAATTTCCAGTCAGTAATTTTGTAGATATTTTTTTTCATACCACAGCTTACTTTAACTATTGTCGCAAGCGCTTTACGTCGTGCTTTCATAGTCACAATACAGAGAAGTTATGCGGATCTTCAGAATGTGTATTGATAACCACCAAATTATTTCATTAATGTTGTAACAATAGAAGACAAGGGCCAGGCAACAGATCGTTTTGTAAGGAAAATCAAAACATATTTATAGATTTTAATGTACATTATTGTAGATTATTGTTAGTAGAAAATACAGTCTTTTGATTGGTTGTTTCTCACAGAAAGTTAACCTTGCATCTCTTTGTGGCTGTGTCAGATCATCCATATGCTAACTGCATCCGCCTACACAAAGCCTTTGTTCTCATTTTCTCACCACCAATATTGGGGACATAAACATTGACGTCAATTACTGTCTACCAACTTTGGCTAGCAGTCAGCTCTCACCACAATGTGATTAACTTTTGTCCCTGAGTGTAAATCTATTTACATTTTTCAACTTTTAGAAGGTTAATTGCGATTGCAAGTTATCATACAAAATGGCCTGGTGTATAGTCTAATCCACATAAAAACACTTGATGTATTGAACCTCATTGTTGATTGCCATGGTTACGTTAAATCGCTAGTAGAACCAACGTAAGTATTCGTCGCGAACACGAGTTTTTAACAGCATCTATACACCAAAAGTAACACTGCAAATATTTATTTTTATTATGGATCCAGAGTATAGATGTTGCGAATATCTTAGGTTAATCTAAGCACCAAGTCATCGCCAGTGTCAGACATCCACATTTATATTTTATCGTTTATATGACCATTAAATCCATAAGTGTTTATTTTCCCATGAAGCATTGGTGTTAAGTGTCAAGCATTCAGCATGAGATTAGAGCCACCATTGTTTTACATTTATAGTGGAAAGTCTTCTATCACAGCAGTTGGATCAGTTTCAGCGTCTTGCAGCGATTTCTCTGAATCATATGATTAGATCACTACTACGTATGTATGCAATTGCATTACATTTAAATTGCAGTTTTCACTTCTTGCTACAACTCAGTCCGACGGACAAGCCCTTAAAATCGTTTAACTGTCTCCCTTTATGTCATGGATATGTGGCTTATTGGCCTAAACACTTAACCTTTTGCCAGCAGTTTCTGAGTTTCAGTCTCTTTCCATTTGGTTCAGACTGGCCTACTGGACACTATGTACAACTGGTTATAGACATGGCTGTAAAAGTTATTAATAACCTGAAAGCAAAAGTTAGTGAAAGCCCAGTGGATTACTGCAACCTCATCCGGGGTGAAAGATGCAAGAAGTCTGATCCTTCCAAGGTCCGAATATGATGAAGGGTTAAACGCTAACTGACAAAAAGTCTTGGAAACAACCGTCAACAGTGGTGGGCAACGAAAGCGAGAGAGATGGAAAACGCATCAGAGATAGGTAACACCAGACAACTGTTTAAGCCTATCGGGGAAACACGTGGCAAAAGGCGATTGATAAGTGGGCCGATCTACGAGAGAATTAATGCCTTAATTAACTCGCAGGATAGACGACTGGAACATTGATATAAGTATAAAACTTGGGCACTGTGGTAGAGTATAACTCCATAATGGATAAGATTTTATTTTAATAAATCACACAGTGTTGTACAGTTATATTAACTGATGACATCTCGAGCACAAACTATTGCTCATAATCATATCAACTTGATATGATTATGAGCAACACTGTGTGATTTATCAAAATAAAATCTTATCCATTATGGAGACGACTGGAACGGTGGAAAGAACACTTTTGGGAGCAATTTGACTGGCCTACAGCCACCGTCAACTTACCCAGCATCCAACATCTCCCTGAATGGGATATAACACAGGTCCTCCGTCCCTAACCCTAACTGACGTTACAAAAGCTGTCTCTATTCTGAAACGAGGTAAAGCAGCAAGACCCGATGGAATGACTCCAGAAGTGTTTAAGGACGATGGAGACAACATACTACCTGCGTTAACTAAGATATTAGGCAACGTTGGGAATCAGAGGAAGTCCCGTTGGGCTGGTGTAGTTCATTAATTATCCCGATATACAAGAAGCGAGATAGGTCTTCCTGCGATAATCACAGGGGTATTAGCTTGACTAATATGGTATCTTAAGTTCTAGGCTCAATACTAATGCATAGACTAAGTGGTGTTTGGGAGGCACAAACACGAGAGAACCAGTCAGGCTTTAAACCAGGAAGAGGGTGTATGACCAAGTCTTCTTTTGGAGTATGCCAACTTACGCCATCTCTGGCATAGACGTGATATCCGAATGGCTATCGATCAAGGGACGTGTCTAGTGCTTAGCGGTCCGCTCCGTCCTCCTTTACGACTGGCTGTGAGTGAGACATGACTATTGATAGTGGAAGACATGGAAATCCTGGCTCACTGTCTTTAATCATATGTGTCTCCGTTCTATCTCCCGTGTCAAATAGTGGTATAATAGGTCGGTAAGTAATATTGAGGTTAGGCATCGGTCGAGTGCTAGGTAAGAAGAGGAAATCAGTAGACGAGGCGGTTGTAAAGTTATATAGATTGGAGATAGTAAGGACATGTGTCACGCATGCACCTAGTCATCGCCTTCCTCGACCGACGGCCAATGTTAGCCGACATAGGATGGATCAGGTTGGAAAAGAGCTAGTGGTGGTCAAACCAAAGCATGGCTTCATCAGTCAACCAAATCCATGATAGTTAGTTTAAGCCAGCCAATCACATAGGGAGGTGTAGACCACCGACTGGCTGATCGGAGTCCTTGGGATGGTTAGAACCAATGAGGGCTTGAGACAACTGTTGATATAGCTCCAAATCGCTTTCAATGTCTGGCACAGATGTATTCATCCGTTGTGATTTGTCATATCCCATAAGACTCTATTGTTCTTCCATATTAGTATTCCTTTTCAGCTCACACTTCTGTTTATTATCTCTGTCTTCTCTTGCTCTGTGTACTGCATGGAGAGAGAGAGTGGTAACTCGAACTGCTGCACTTCTGTGCAAGAGTTTTGTGTTGGAACCTGTCAGTGTGGGCCACTGTGTAATTTCATCAGCCTTCATGCTATGTATGCAGCCTGGCTTCCTGCAAATATGTTGCTACTAACTGAGTCCTAACTGACTAACTAATTGACTCTAACGATGTGTTGCTGTGCTCATACTTACTATTTTCACTGTGTTAAGTCGATCACTTGAATACTTTATATTTCTAAGTATTATCACAGTGAATTTTCACCTGAAACCACGCCGATGCAACGATTCCATGGCCTGGTTCAAATTGTTTTTGAAACGCATATGTAATTAAAAATAACATTTAGAACAATATTAAAGTATTTTCTTATACAAGAAACTATTAATGAGATCAACATATCAGCATGTAATCATCGTCCTCATGAGATGAAATCATTGATTTTAATTCGGATTATAATTCTTCCAATTCAGCGTATGTGCATAAACGTGTTGACCTTTAATTTTGCTAAATTTCTTAATATGATATTATACCTTGATGAAGTGAGGTGTAATTTAACCTCAATGCTTACTATATACTTTTTCATTTTTATCTTCTATTTCGATAAGTTTGACTGGGTTAAGTAAAGCATTTTCAATGAATCGACATAGGACTTTATTTTTATTTGGTTATATGCACTGGTGATTAAATAGCCTACTGCTTATGATGCAATCAACTTCATTGTGAGTGAAAAAAAAACAAATAGACAGTTCCATTATGGATAAAATTGTTTTTGATAAAGTCTCACAGTGTTAAACAGTAGTAATATTTACTGATGACCACCTTTGGAGCACAATTTATTACTGCTCATAATCATATCAAGGTATTCATACAACTTTCTAACCGTTTATATAATTCCATTATTTTTCATCGCTTGATTTGACTGGTAGTAGTATTTTCCATATTTCCGGTATGAGTGATGAGTCATTCCTATTGTATGTGTTGGGTGTAGACTCAATGAACAAGGATTCAGTAATCAACCTCTCTCTCCAACTACCTAGATTACCTCTTAGAATTTTAACCCTCTCCCACCCTATTGTGTGGTTGTGTGTTAATGCATGCAGTGCAATTTAGGAAAAAGCTCAGCAAACGCACTGCATGCATTAACACACAATAGGGTGGGAGAAGGTTAAAATTCTAAGAGGTAATCTAGGTAGGTGGAGAGAGAGGTTGATTACTGAATCCTTGTTCATTGAGTCTACACCCAACACATACAATTGGAATGACGCATCACTCATACCGGAAATATGGAAAATACTACTACCAGTCAAATCAAGCGATGAAAAATAATGGAATTATATAAACGGTTAGAAAGTTGTATGAATACCTTGATATGATTATGAGCAGTAATAAATTGTGCTCGAAACGTCATCAGTAAATATTACTACCGTATAACACTGTGAGACTTTATCAAAATCAATTTTACCCATAATGGAATTGTACTCTACCACAGTGCACAAGTTTTATTCCTCTATCAAACAAATAGATACTCTGCACCAATGTTAACTGTTTTGAAGCCTTTGTTGATCTCGTCATATTCTGCTAATATGTAATTGTGTTGCGTTCGATTCTGTCAAAATCTGTCTGCTAAATATCTGGACATCTGCAGCAGATACACCCGTTGTTGACTTGCTTTAAATGTTTTCATTCTATGGTCGCATGTTAGACTTTCTCATACTCCTCATAAATTGTCGTTTAACTTATCCTTTTCGAAAACGAAAATTATCGACATTTGGTACACATTTTGGTCTGGTTGTGTTCTCTAATCTAGGCGATTTCTCAATTATATCACCTAGATCAGAGTAGGCAACAACATCAAAATCATCGACCTAGGCTACAAATCCTCTCTTATTCTGTACAGATGTCTACTTGCCCTCCAGTCTGTTTAACTTAACACTGTGTCAACATATTCAAGGAATCTTGGGTATTTATTGCCCCAAGCTTTTATCTCATTTCATTGTACAGCGTTTATTTTTTTGCGTCGGTGGCACAGCGATTAGGACTCTCACCGACCATGCACATAGTCAGGGGTTCGATCCTCTACCGGCGCACACCCGATATCAATGGTCGGCCTGCGAAATTCGGGCTACCGATATCACATGCTGAAAAGTCCATACTTGTACCAAAAGTACAGTGTGGTTTCAAGCTATAATCAAAATAAAAAATAGATCCAAAGCATTGTTTCTTATTACTATTGCTCAGCGTGTATCACTGTCATTATCCAGTCTCTACGCTAGTTTTCCTTGAAGCTGCTCTTGATATATGCTCAATTTGTTCACATTTTCACATAATGTCTACTTTCATTAACATACTCCATAAACTACAATTATTTATATATTATTGAAACAAACTTGATGCGATATAGGCACCAGGCAACTCTCTTTGCAAAGTGATTTAAAAACAGTATAATGACAGAATGAGGAAATCACATTCTCTGTAGCCTTCCGCTGTTGTAGTTTCTTTAACTAGCTGCCAATAGCTCACTATTGAGCATTCGGTCTCCATGGTCGATATCAATCTCATTCAATAATATCCTTTATCACTCAGCACCACATGCTGACCCGTTAATCTTTTTGCTTCTTCCGACCAGGTAGTCAATTGTATAAAAGCGGTTACGATTACATTAATAACAAATATCCAAACTCGTTTTATTGTGCGTCGGTGGCATAGCGGTTAGGACGCTCGCCGACCATGCACATGGTCCGAGGTTCGATCCCCGGCCGACGCACTCCTTTACCTCGCTAAGCCGGAAATAATGCTGGTAAAGAGGAAAAGTTGGGCATGAGGCTAGCAACCCCATCCTGTAAAAATCAAAACACCGCTACAAAAACTTCAAGCCACTAGCTTGAAGCCCTATGTTCCACTGGGAACGTGAAGGAAGAGAAAAAACTCGTTTTATTGGTGCTGTCATCTGATACAAGTTATTATTAGGGTAAATAGTCTTCATATATTGACTATCTTCATCAAACAAGCGTCTCTACGAAGACAGTAGTGATTAAATATGTTTAAGGATTAATGGACTACCCTGAAATTGTAACAATGTCAACTATATTGATGATAGCAATAATCATGATGACGATCATAATCTCCCTCGGCATCATTAAAATTGTTCAGTTTTAGTATTTTTGCATTCGCTATGGTTTTCCTGTTGACATTTTGATGTAGCTGTTTACAAGGATAATAACCATGGTGATCAGCATCATCGTTTTAAGGATAATAATAATATATAGTGTTCGTGTGTAGAATAAATGTTATGTGATGATAGCAAATAAATATGCGAATGGAATTTTTAATTTAGGCATAAATGTTGAAGATTGATGGAGATATTTTTCATTCCCTTGTTTTTCTTACTAATTCCTATCGATGTAGCAGTAGATGCATCTGTTGACGACAAAAAAAAAATTATGTTTATGGATGATTTTATGCTGGATTTACAACGAGTTCGGTCTGAAGTCTGAACGCTAGCCTAATGATTACGATGAACACTTTTTTGTTGCCTCAAATGCGTATATATGTAATTAAGTAGTTCGCGATAATGTTTTGAATCAGCACACCTTTATTTTTAACATAGGTGTAGCAAATAAATAAATTCAGAATAATTTTGCTTAATGTCGAGAAAAATTTGTTAAGTACAAACTGAATATTGGAAACGAAAGTAGTCATGGAGTGAAAACAAATTCGACAAAAATAGACAAATTTATCTAATATGATTTTCCACAAACTGTTTACGCATAATATACGACGTAAATGTTTGTCTGTAATTTTCCAGTGATTCAACTGCAAACCCAAAAATTCATTCATTAGTTTGTCTTGTTCTTTAAAAATCTCAAATGAAGTTACTGAAAACTGTAAACTAGGAGTATCTTTCTCCGCTTTCATCCTCGTTAGCCAGAAAAGTTTCTGAGGTTAAAGGATAACGGTCACTGAGCTAATTTTCTCTTAGTTCCTTGCCTGCTTTAATGTACACTTTAGCATTTTGATATAGCTACCCTATTTTTTCACTCCTTTACACCTGGACAGGACAGTATCTTAATTACCGCAGCTTCTCTTCTGTTTGGTACAAAAGAGACTTAGTGAAGCGCCTCTTTATTAGGATTCAGGGAATACATTTGAATATGAGGAATGAAAACTGACAGAGACTCCAGTTGATAATAATTATCCAGAGAAGTTTGTAAAGAGATACAAAGTGGTCTAAACACTAAAACTCATTTTCCAACTCACCGTTAAGAAAAATGTATATATCAAGCTACCTTACATGGGTGACCATAGTAGCTTGGTAATTAGACAAAGATGGAACTCTGAAGTTAAAAAGATCCTTAGCTAAGATCCGAGTAATTGAGAATACGAAACCTATATATCCATCTAAGCTCTTAGAACATACAAAAAATGATGTCAAATCTCACTCTATATACCGATTCAAATGTATTTGTAGTGATACATACAAAGGAAGGACTAATCGATTGTAGGTAAGGCCTTCAGAAGCAAATCAAATCCCCCTGGACCCGTTAATGGTGAAAACAGACCACCTCGCTTTTCTATTGAGAAACATTTTTTAGAAACAGGACATAAAATTTATGTTTACACCTCTTTTGAACCTCTCTATAAAACGTGTTTAGGGCGTATCCTGAAGTTTATGGAAGCCTTGGCGATTAGGTATTATAAACCACCTATATGTATTCGTAAGCATTTCGTCATCACACTGAACCTTCCATAGTAAACTTTTTTGTGATACCAGGGCAGATGTACTATTATTGGTTTCCATTGTTATCTTGACCTTTACTGTGGCCTTTTAACTTGACCTATATCTATTCTTACCCCTTAACGTGTTATTATTTCCATCTATATTTCTATGACAAGTACGTGTGTGGTAAGATTGTTTCTAAATGTGTTGCGCAAATACATTACACGATTCAGATAAATTGTTTCATTGTTTTGCCGAAATTCATAAAGGAGGAAATAACTTTTAAATAAACTAGACGTTTTTCTGCCTTTCTATCTATTTTTAACTCTGTTTAGTTAATGAAAATCAACCTGTAATTACCTCATTTTACCGTATACGTATGAAATGTGGGCAGTATTGTTGGGTTCGTACTCTAATCTCTTGTTTAACACAGCCACGCTGTCACCAATCAAAATCTCTTGTATCCACAACTACTGGACACTATGGTCATCGAACGGTTTCTGATAAAAATTTGAACACTTGCAGTAAATGTTATCAATCGTGTGATGGATATTGTTTGAATACGTCTATAAACAATGCCTCGAGTTACTCAGCATTTGGTGGGGTGGAAAATTCATCAATGAACAGTGCAAATTCAATTTCTGGTAGTTCAATGAATTCCGTTTGTGTTGAACATCCGAATAGTTTTAATTTAAACAACAATTACAACTCTTTGGATACACTAGTCTGTTATCACCAGTTCGCCCAGTAAGTTATTGCATTCATTGTTTGTTGTATATTTTAGTTAATTATGCTATCTATTCACTTAATAATAGTTGCATGTTATTGACTCGTAGTTTTTATTTGTCATATATTTCCAAACTATAATAAAGAAGGAATAGTATAAGCATAAAAAAGAAGTAAACGGATGCATCATTCTAGTTCATGTACTGATAGGAACTGCATTATTTTAAAATTCGTCTTTATGTATAACTTTATAATTCTAATGTCATGCCATTTTTCGTAATTATAGATGTAACTGAAGTGATCACATTTATTGTTTACTGCTTAAGATTGACCAGGTTATGAGATAAAAAAAAGACAATCCACATATTTTTCTATAGTTTGGTTTGTAAGGATTAGTTATGTTTTACGAGTTGATCACGGACTGATATCAGTTAGAGAACCACTGAAAATCAGGGAGTACTGGACAGCTGCTGTTTCATCCTAGTTTGGGAATCATCGGCAATACGCACCCACTGGGATTCGAACCCAAGACCTTCCGGTAACAAGGCAAGCTCGTATACCATTCAGCCACTGGGACCCGATTCAACGGCTCATGAATTCTAACTTCTACCAATTCGTGATTTTAGCGCGACCCCAACTATTGTCGTTGGTGGGACATCCATCCACACACGTGACTTCTAATTGGACCTCACTGGTCACGACTTCCCACTAGAACTCCAGGAAGCTCCAACCTGTAGCAAGTCACAATAGTTGGGGTCGCGCTAAAATCACGAATTGGTAGAAGTTAGAATTCATGAGCCGTTGAATCGGGTCCCAGTGGCTGAATGGTATACGAGCTTGCCTTGTAACCGGAAGGTCCTGGGTTCGAATCCCAGTGGGTGCGTACTGCCGATGATTCCCAAACTAAGATGAAACAGCGGCTGTCCAGTACTCCCTGGTTTTCAATGGTTCTCTAACTGATATCAGTCCGTGATCAACTCGTAAAACAATCCACATATTCAACACTCTTCTACCATGTGGTTATATCATGAGCCGTTTGTTAACCTTGGCATAAGATGTAAGCCTCTTCCATCAACAAACTTCCTGAGCTATTGATCCAATACGTTTGGAATTTATATTTTCTGTTTTGTTTTCCTCATTTTTCACTAATTCACTTCCTTTCCAAGAATTCATTTTTATGGTGTGCAGTAGTGCCAAGAGGTATGGTTAGTCTCACTAAAGTCGCAAAGTCAGTATACATTATGAATTCCTTTCTTTGATTGAAATAGAAAAGGTCAATTCGTTAAAATATTCAAAGAAGTTTAATAATAAAAGAGTGAGAAAAAGGGAAATGGATAACTTTGATGTAGTTCACACCGGCTGTGAAGATTCTATAAAAAATATACTGATGGGATTTACATTTATGGTGTGTATTATGTTCTTAGACCTTCTGGCTACGAAATGCCCACAGTCAAATACCAAATTTCGAAGGACATTGAGCAATCTCGGTCCGCATTTCAAGGTAAAGAAGGTCCTAATTAATAGGGTAATTGTCAGGTATAGTAACCGTAATCCCTTAAGAAAAATGACGATTTCATTCGTTTCCTGACGATTTAAATAGAATCAGAATAAGTGATATTCAGTTCCACTTTAAACATCGCAGTAGATAAATTAAATGCCTATTAGAAGTCGCGAAATTTGCAAGGAAACGACTAAAATACTGTAGAACTGATCATGCTCCACTTTCATCTAAATTTTAACCATTGTAGTACGTCTTAATCCCTTAAACTTCTTTTCTATTGATTCTTTAATACTCTGGGTCTGCTTGTATTTTTTATTGTCAGTATTGACATTGTTATTTTTATTGTTAATTATTATCCTTCCATAACACGATAAACTGAGACACAACCATCTTCTTCAATTGTATTTAGTCATTTCAAAATACCCTCAAAACATTGGCAACAAACATGAAGAATCATGTAAAATAAACGATTAACAAGTTTTTAAGCTTGTAACGATAACATTTTTGAAAATAGAAAATACACTTTCATATTCTGTAAAATACTGCTTTTGTATTATGAAGAAATCCATCACGGAAACTTATCCGTTTGTGTTGTCTTCTTCAATGAATAATTAGTATTTAAAAAAATATTTATTTGACGTTTTTGAAAGGCGCAGATGCATATTCCTACAATTATGTACATATACACACAGTGTAGGTGTGTTGATGTGATACATCATGTGAATAACTATCGTTACCATACAGTCATATGATAGCTTGTCAACAGTAATGTTTTGCTCTACATAATGCTAAATTTAGCCGAGAAAAAAGTATTTTTTTTATCGTCACTAATTACTAATAATGCGAAATAGCCATCTACTTCTCCCTGCTTTTCAGTAGTATTTTATGTCAGTTTTGCAATGAAAACTTCGTAACCAACTACTATTGTCATTTTTCCATTGGCAGTATTGCCGTTGACTTCTGGATGTTTTCTAAATGTGTTTAGACTTCGTTTACAATGATGTTCAGCTGTTTCTTATTGGCTGAGACACTCAGCTTCTAACCACTGGGTCACCCCACTCCACCTGCAGAAGTATCACTAGCCATCATACAATACATGTGGCTTATCACCAACTACATGCACATACAAGTGGTTGTTGAGGTTTCTTTTTCATATGATGATTCATAGTAGTTGTGTTTATACCCACTTATCTGGTTCCTTTACATTTAACTGAGAAAAAAAGGGGAAGTGTCTACTCTAAATAATCTCGAACATATATCATTACTCTGTCTGAAATATAATAGAGTTCATTTGTAATGATTAGATTTATTTTTCGAGTTCGACTACGGATTGATGTCATTTAAAGAACCATTGAAATCCAGCGAGTACTGGACGGCTGTTTCATCTTAGTTTGGGAATCATTGACAGTACGCACCCACTGGTGTTCGAACCCGGGACCTTGCGGTTACAAGGTAAGCTCGTATACCGTTCAGCCACTGGGATCCGATTCAATGGCAACCCCATGAATTCTCACTTCTACCAATTCGTGATTTTAGCGCGACCACCAACCAAGTATAAAAAGACATAGTAGTAAAACATTTAACATCATTGTCTTATATCTGTCTTTGAAGAATTGTTGTTGCTTGCCATTTGAAGATATAAATGACAGTTTGCTTAATTTAACCAAAGCAGTAAAGTTTTAGTGTTTCCATCAGTTTATTTGTGACGTGATGCCATAAAATCAACTGCAAGTTGAATCAAAACAATGAATTAGGGAAAAGTGAGCACTTTGATAGTTCATGAATTTATGTCAGTTTGTTTATGTAATATGACATATAGTGATACAGTATTGCTTACGCACCTCATGCATGTGTACTGCCAAAGAGTCTTAAATGCCGATGCAATCGAAGCTCTTCATGTTCTTATTATTTCTAGATAACTCACTTTTTTCTATAAAACTAAATCTTGACTTCAGCGTCGCTTATTCTGTAATTCCTTATTGATAAGAGAAAATAGCTGCGCTTGTATACTTATATCTTCAAGTATATGCCCCATGACAATGGATATAATCATTATTCAATCATAATTTTGACACATAATGCAAAAACGTCTTTGTAAACTCATTCAAGTGTGGCGTACTTCAATCAACTGAGATCAATTTCACAGTAGTCTGAAAATATTTTTTGCATTGCCATCCCCTTTAAAAAATAGTTTATTTTTCCTACAAAGTAAAACAATCAGCCTCAATTTTGAATCTTCCCTGAAATAAAACTGATTTTGTGTAGGTTATTTATAACTATGACAGAATTTCCTGTCGTACAAATTAAATTTTAAAATACCACTTTATTTTATTTATTATATCCTTGCGTTCCGAGTGGAAAATACGGCTTCAACGACACATATCTACTTTGTTCTGTTTTCTGCCGTCCTCTTCAGCTGGGTCCACGGTTGCCCAAACACTCTCATCTCTTCCTCACACGATCTCCTCCATGTCACTCTAGGGCGACCCACTCGTCGCTTCCCACTTGGAATCCACTCGAGGGTCTAGCGTGCGGTGTCATTCCGCGGCCTCCTCAATGTATGCCCGATCTATCTCCATTTTCTCCTAAATAATTGTTGTGCGATCGGATCCTGGTTGGTTTTCTCCCATAGCGTCTTCTGACTTATTCTTTCTGGCCATTTTTTCCTCAGTATAGAGCAAAGGTAGCTGTTAATGAAAGTCTGCAACCTGTTGGAAATCCTTTTCGTGACACGCAGTGCAAGTTTCTAACCCGTATAGAAAAACCGACTTAACATTGGTGTTGAAAATGCGAATCTTGTTCCTTATGCTAAGTGGAGAAGATTTACAAACTGGTTTCAGGTTGATGAAGGCGTGTCCGTATCTTGCCTTTCCGATTCTGACTGGCTTTGACATCTTCATCTGTTCCGACCGCCTGTAGTTGAAACGATGTGCGTCGGTGGCACAGTGGTTAGGACTCTCGCCGACCATGCACATGGTCCGGGGTTCGAGCCCCTACCGGCGCACACCCGATATCTACGGTCGGCCTGAAATTTGGGCTACCGATATCCATGCTGAAAATTCCATACTTGTACTGAAAATACGGTGTGGAATCAAGCTGTAATCAAAAATTAAAAAAAAAAATAGATAAATGAAGAAGGCAACCTCTGTTGAATATCTCCCGTTGATGGTGATTGGTGCTGGTTGTTGTCGTTGTTGTTGCTGTTCGTTGGTTATCTTCATCACCTGCGTCTTCTCTGTGTTCACCTGCAGTCCTGTTTTCGCTACCTCTTCAGCCAGTTTGTTGGTTTTCGCCTGCAAGTCTTCGAGTTTGTGTGACATTAGACATATATCGTCTGCGAAATCCAGATTTTCTAGAGTCTTCGTACCGATCGTCCAGCGTATTCCTGTCTTCTCACTCCCCACGCACACTCTGATGCATAATCCAGGCCACCACAATTAAGAATATCATCAATGATAATAGGCAGCCAGCTTGTCTTACTCCTGTCTTCACTTCAAACGCCTCACTGAGTTTTCCGTTG